GTTTAGGGTTGCTTATGCTGGCAGCAGGCAGTTTAGGGTTGCTTATGCTGGCAGCAGGCATGGAGACTTAAGGCCGCCAGACGTTGGACCCAGGTCACTGCCACTTAAGCATTCTGATTGGGGCCATATCCTTGCATGAATGAAGGGCCCAAGTTCAAGAGGCCACAAAAAAATGCAGCGGATATACTATAGTAGTTTGCATTTTATTTTCCGTTAATCCCAGTATAACCCCAATGTACTATAGTAATTTCCATTTTCTTTTCCATTATCCCTATATAACCCCTTTGTAACCCTATAATCCCTATATAATCCCTATAACCCCTGTAGTAATTTCCGTGGAACTCCCTGATCAACCCCAGGTCAGGAACCCTGACCAAGTCAATGGCTCCTGCCCACTTACCCTTTAAGGGGTTATATAGGGGTAATAGAAAAGAAAATGGAAACTACTATAGTACATATTTAGGTATATGGGGTCTATAGGGGATATAGTGGGGTTACATAGGGATAATGGAAAAGAAAATGGAAACTACAGGGATAATAGGGATTATATAGGGATCATAGGGTTCATATTGGGGTTATACAGGGATAATGGAAAAGAAAATGGAATTACTATAGTATGTTGGGGCTACACTGGGATTAATGGAAAATCAAATGGAAACTGCTATGGTATATCCTTTTGGGGGTCCAAATAATTAGGGTTTAGGGTCATCAGATTTCCAGCAAGGCACAGTGCGATTGACTTGCAAGGCTTCTGCTAAGGCCTGAAGTCAGTGTGCAGCTTAGAGGCCAACACTTGTAGTCCCCCTTAAGTAAATACAATATGGAGTATAGGGGTGTAGGGTTTTGGGTTTTGGGGTTATAGTCCCCCTTAAGTAAATAGAATATGGGGTATATGGGGATCTTGTCATAAAATACCCAAAGCTATATTCTATCTACTTAAGGGGGACTATAATGTTTAGGCTTTCGGGGCTGTGGGTTCTGTTTGGGGGCTGCGGGTACCTGGGACCTTGTTCCTTACTGGCGAAAATTGTAACTTGATGTTGGTTACAGTATTCAGGTTTTAGCATGGTAGAAACTATTCCTAAGACAGTGATGACTCTGATGCTGAGGGTAAGGACTTGAGCAGCAACTAGAACAGTCGTTTGGAATATGCAGCATACACTCCTACAAATGGATCATGCTCAGATCCTGTCTGTGACTGGCAAAAGTATGTTCGAAGTTGCGTCGAGTCGGCAGTCGCACGTGGAAGCTTAAGAACATAAACCAGGCCAGTCGCTTCCCTACAGTGTTAGACACCCCCAGCCCACCAGAAAAATTGGAAATCTATCCCCGACTGTAGTTGGGCTCTTACAATGTATATTGAATTGAGTGAGGGGCGGTGCATAATAGTAGGGCAAGGGACCAGCTGACTCACAAGGCGTGTAGAGGCCAATGTTCAATGTCATCTTTCTAGCATCCTAGCCGCATCATAGAGTACATTGAACTTAGTCATCCGGGTAGGTTCATAGAAGCCATTGTCTAAACTCCTAGTATCCCCCTGAATAACCCCTATAGTACTCCCCTGACCCTGTATAATCCCCTATATCACCCCCTTTTCAGGAGTTTAGACTAAAGTTCATATTCCCTGCAACAGGACTTTCACCTTCCCGTAAGAATAGTGTTTTCAGGCACGCAGCGTGATCCAAAACTGCGCAGTGCCAAATTAGAAGTAGTAGACATTCCACTGACCCCAGACCCTAAATAGTAGCTTCCGAGTTCTTTCCATCAATTTCCATTAGACGTAAATAACCCATATGTATATGTGTATATATATATATCATCACATGATAGCTTCCATTATCATTCCCATTGAAAGTAGATACTCCCATATATACCTAGATACATATATATATATACATATCCATTTATATACATATACATATAACCCCTTTTCTGTTCATCGAGCCCAAGAAGCCTGCTGGACCTGGCTCCGGCCCCTCCAGCACGCCCCGCTCTAATAATTGGAAAACATGCTTCTACACTTCTACCCAGACCCCCTAAAGGATTCAAAAAAGAAAATGCTCCCCACTACTACAGTGGGGAAACTAAGGGATTATTAGGGGGTTCCATTTTTTGGATCCTGTAGGGGGTCTGGGTACAACTCCTACTTACTGGGCTGGGTACAACTCCTACTTACTGGGGATTAATAGGGAATGAGGATTTATATTATATTCTATAGGGATTGTCTGGCCTTGTTCCCGACTCTTTGCTCTGAAGACATTCAACCCTACACCTCCAAATCTCTGAGGCCCTCTACCGTAACTTCACAAGTGCTCAAGCGGGAGATTGAGGGAATGAATCTAGTTATAGAGATGGACCACCCTAAACCCTAAGCCCCAATGGATAGTTCTTGGGATCCACTCCCCCTAAGAATCAGCAAGTAGTCTGCCCTCTTGAAGACTGCACTCCATTTGTTTCCTTTTGTTTCCAGCGCTATACATTCCCTGCAAGATTGCCCCTTAATTCAAGTTCTTAGGGTTAAGTAAGGGTAATTCAGCAGGAACCTTAGTGTTCATAAGAGCTGCCTCCACGCCAGCATTCGTGATGAGGTTGCCTCCGAGTCCCAGTTGCTTGAGCTTTCGGTTGGTCTTCAAGGCCATCGCGAAAACCTGCTGGCAGGCAAAGCAATTCGGTGTTGTAGGTACATATAGGGTTTAGCCTAATCTGTATAATATAGGGATCCTAAGAGGATTCTCAATTTTCCCGCCAGGAGAATGCAAGCAGTACTCTCAAAAAACTCCAAATTGCCAGAATCCATCCTGTAATGACCTACCATGATTCCCGCAGTGAGAATACCTTAGGTGGACCCCCCACCCAGTAATAGTAACTATAGGGGATAATAGGGATCATATTAGGGTCCTCTTATATTCCTATTATACCACTATTACAGGGTGGGGGGTCCTCCGAAAGAATACCCCAATTAGGGGAACATAGCTCTGAACCGAGATGACTAGCAACCTCCGAGGGGCATGCAGGACTTAAGCATCAACAAGGCAATTACCAAGTTCAAGCGTGTGAATGAAGCCTGGGCCCACTGTTTAGGCGTTAGGGTTCAGGGTTCTTATTTGGAGTTGGGCTTTGGTAGTGTTTAGGTTTTAGGGTTCAGGGTTCTTATTTGGAGTTGGGCTTTGGTAGTGGGTTTTAGAGGCATAACATGCAGTTGCTGCGGATAAGGTTCCATGATGTTAGCGTGTTATCCCGAAAAAACTGTTACCACCAACCCTGTGAAATGCCTTTACCAGAGGCTCAAAGGCCAAGTATCATCTTGAGCGCACATTTTCGTTGTACGAGGTTCGGGCATAACCCTGGACCCATAAACAACTTAACTGTGGGGATCAGGATCATATTATACCCTTATACAACCCCTATAATCCTTGTAGTTTCCTTTTTATTTTCCATTATCCCTATATAACCCCTTTGTAACCCTATAAACCCTATATAATCCCTATAACCCCTGTAGTTTCCATTGTATTTTCCATTATCCCTATATAACCCCCCAAAAAAAATTAGGCGTCACCCCTGCGCCTGAACCTCATCGTCGCCAACCCGGTTGCAACCTGTGAACCGGAGTTCCCAGAGGTTTTGGTTTCAGGGTTTAAGGCTTCGGTGCCCAGATGATCCATCTCCATATTCTCTGTAACATTCAAGGTCCCTACTTGGAGGGTCAAGGGGACTTAATAAGTAGGTTAATAACCCCTATAACCCATATAGTAACCCTATTTATCCCCATTATTAACCGACTTACTAAGTCCCCTGACCCTCCAAGTACTGTTTGAGGCAACATATCGCAGCCTTTTTTATGCAGGAGCCCCGCTGGTTTCCCGCTACCTGCGAATCCCCAGAACGTTGGCGATGCTTCAATCCTAACGGCCCAATAATCTAACATCCTGATGATGATGATCATCATCATCATCATCCGTAAAACCCCAGCTCCAGGCAACTTGCGCAGTCCAGTATATTATGCTACGAAGTGGCTGTGGAAGCTTTTATGATGCCCACATGCTCCCCATGGAATCCTTCTGTAGTCCTAACATACTCCACCTGACAGAGCATCCGTAGCGCCTACTCCAGCAATGCTTTTTCAGCTGCTCAAACAGAATAAACTACTTCAGTCTCCTCATGATCTAGCGGGAACATCGCAACGGTTTGCAGATTCACTTAGAGAGAATCTGTTTTCAAACTATACAGAAGCCTTCGGATTCTTTTCTCCGGATTCAACTGACTGCATCTGGCCCTCGTCCTGAAAACTCATAGAACCTCTAAACCCTAAACCCTAAACCCCAGAATCCTCATGGATCCCTAGAACCCCATGTGACGCCCCACCTAGATCCATCTCCGTCAGCGAATGGTTGTCCTTTAAGGCCTGTCCAAGGGCCTGCCAAGAAAAAGATTTAGCAGCTAGGAGTGTATGGGCTGGGGTTCAGGGATGCAGCGGACGGACTTACATCTTGCATTGCGCTCGCAAAGTGGATGTTGTCTGAATAGTTGACAGCAGGATTGGCAAGGCACATTCAGGTTCGTAAGCAGTCTTGCGAAATATTCCAAGACTGGTCAAGGGTTCGGTCAGCCACGCTTGCTGTGTAGGACTTAGGGCTTGGAGTTGATAGGGTTTTGGTGCTGAAACTTCGGAAACAGCGTCTTGTTTTCAGAGCTAAGGGCCTTTCCATCGAGACCCGTGGATGTAATGCAGCCGCAGGTAATTTCAGCAATTCGATCTAGACTGAAGAGCTTACTCAGCCTGTCCAACCCTGCAAACCCAAAGCCAGTGATGCGGCCTTTGTGCTCATAGTCCCCCTTGAGTAGACAGAATATAGCTTTGAGTAGAATATGACAAGATCCCCATATACCCCATATTCTATCTACGTAAGGAGTATGAGAAAAGTGCAAACAGACCAAGCCAGCTCAAGAAGGGATGCTGCTTGAAAAAGTGGTAGAAGGATTGCGTAGGTCCCTACCCTTCCCGAAGTTAATATGGAACCTGGAGAAGTCCCTTGCAGACCACTGTCCCTCTGACAGGGGCAAATGATAACCTCCTCTTTCAAACCCTACCAAGAGGTTCATCACAAGAGTCAAGTAGGCCTACAACTCCCCAAATGTTGGTTATAACTACGCTACTTAATTCTCCTATTCAGAGCACAACTTATAACTACATAGACCTCCTTTCTATACCGCTGGCCTGCGACCCGGCACCGATAAGGTTGTTGGCAAAAGTGATTCTTAGTCGTGGTTTTCAAAGCGATGACACGTTCCCGGCTTTTGTTTCACAACGTACTTCTTGACCAGTTGTGCAAAGCGTGCTCCGGGCATGGAAGGCCATACAGAGGGCTGCAGAACTCTCGCGCTTGCGTTTTGAAGCAGCGTTTGCTTGGGGTTGTCTGACAAAGAAAATTCTGCCGTTGCATGCTTGCAACAAGACGTGCTCAGTTTCTCTTCTGGGCTAACTCTCTTGATACCAAAACCTTTCATGACCTTGGCATGCTATAACACATGATAAAGCCATAACTTCAAAGGTTGCATACTTCGTTTCAGGCAGGGTTCTGAACATCAACTGTATGAAGGACCCTATCCCCAAGCCCTGGCCCTGCAAATCCGGGGAGTCGCGGATCCGGAGAGTCGCGGAACCGAAAACCTCCCCAAAACCACAAGCCCTTAACCCTACAAAGCCCTAAACAATCCTGCATAAACCCTAAACCCTACGTCAGCTCACATAAACACCACTTGGAGGTTGAGGCCCCAATACAAGCTAGAGCTAGAATTATCTGGTGTTAGTAGGGAATCAGGGAATATACTCTTCAGACAAAATATTCCCTTGTTCCCTACTAACCCTAAACCCTAAACCATCATATATACATGGAGTGTATATATATATATAATGTGTATGCATATAGAAATATATCTCTATATATATATATATGTATTTATCTCTCTCTCTCTCTCCCCTTATTCCCTGCTAACCCCCAGTAAACTAAGGCCACAGTCGTCGCCCAGCCAGGGAGCTTCTTGAGAGTGATGTTGACATGCAGAGCCTTGGCCAACGCCTGCACAGTCAGACTTGAGGTGGGTTCAGCAAAACTCCAGGGTTCATGGTTTAGAGCTTAGGGGTTTAGGTTTGGGTGTAGGGCTTACGGTTTAGACTTTAGGGGTTAGGTTCTACAGCCTATGGTTTTGTTTCTTGGCTGTAACTCTTTTCAACTGTAGTTCGGGTTTTCACGGACCTTTCCGCAAAAGCCTTGCGTCCTCCGAAGATGCTGCTACAGCACAGTCCTCACATCGGCTTCTCAATGACCAAGCATTGTTTGCCTACCATCCCTTGGTACAGCTCCCCTCAGGTCAGCACCTCCCTGGTCATCACAATCTGGAATGCCAAGGGTTTAGGGTTTA